CGGCGGAGGCGTTGTCGGCGCCGCCAGGCAGCGCCCGCGCCGGGCTGGCCGCCAGGGGCACGCTGGCGATGATGCAGATGACGGCACCGAGGAACGCCAGCATGCCCGCGGCCAGCAGCACGGCCAGGAACTTCAGCGTGAGGCGGGCGGCGGGGGCGCCCGAGGCCCCCCGGCAGGCGCGGCGGCGGGGTCGGGGCGCGGGGCCCGGGCGCGCGGGGCCGAGCGGGGCCGAGCGGGGCCGAGCGGGGCCGAGCGGGGCCGAGCGGGGCCGAGCGGGAGCTGGAGCTGGAGCTGTTGCCGCGGCCGCTGCTGCCGCCGCTCTGAGCCCGGGCGGCGCGAGGAGGAGAAGGCGGCGGGCGGCGGGGAGGGGGAGCGGGCGCGGCGGCCCCGCCCCGCCGGCTCCCCCCGGGGCCGGCCCTGGCCCAGCCCCGCACCCGTTCCGTGCCGGGCGCCGCCGAGAGCGCGATCCCGCCGTCCGCACCGCGCCGGGGGGCGGGGGGGCGGGCGGCGACCCGGTGGCCGCGCGGCGGGACTCCCGGGGGACCTCCGCCGCACCTCTCCTGGGCTCCAGCCCCCTCCCCGAACCCGTAATGCCGACAGCTACCTGGCAGGGAGCTTGTCTCCGCGTCGGGCTCAATTAAGCCTCACGGTGGACACGCTCACCGGGGAAATGAGAAGCCTGGGGCCCACCGAGGTCAGGTCGCTGTCCAAGGTCACGCAGCTAGGATGCGTTGGAGCAGCGTTTGAGTTCAGGCGCTTCTGAGGGGACTCAGGTTGTAGGATTGAGCTGGGGTGGGCGTGGGTAGAAGAAAAGAGGTTAGTATTGGGGGCAGGGGACTGGAGATTTTGAGGCAACCACCAGCCTGTCACTCCCCACCTCCGACCTCCTGAAGGAACGGGGTTCACTCCCCTCCACCCCCATCAAAAACCAAAAACCCAAGAACACACACACACACACACACAGCAGAAAAACAAAGAAACAAAAACTTCCTGTGATCTCAGAGGGTAGCAGAATCCTTAAGGGCATGAAACATCGGGGGTCCCAGAGAAGACCCTTCTCCCCACCACAGTCTACATTAGGAAGGTAAAACCCTGCTGGACCTGTGGACCAGGCACTGGAAGGAACCAGAAGGAATGGGAGTGACCTATGGTGTGGAGGTGGTTGAGGAGATTTTTATTTTCTCCTTTCAAAAATGCCTATATATATTTTTTGTTGCGAATTAACTTTGCAATTAAAAACTTAAAAAAAAAAAAAAACTTCCTACCATCCTCCACAATTCAGGTCCAGCTCCAGTTTTCCACGAGGTGTTTTCTGACCAGCCTGAGTTCCCAGTGCTGGAAGGACACCGAGAAGGCTGTGGATGTTCGGCTGTTTGCAGCAAAGGGTGGAGGAGAGGGGCTGTGGCTCCTCATGGAAAGCCTCAGTCACTGGCCAAGGCCACACCCAGGTCAGTCCTGAGCCTAGGCCACACCCAGGCCTGTCTCCCTTCCTAGCCTGCATTCTTGACTTGAGACTGGGGCTCAAGTCACAAACTGGGGCTCTGAACCACCATGGCTACAGTATGGTCTCTGCATAGTGCTGGTGGCAGGAAGAGACCAGAACATTTCTCAGAAGGCCACCGCCCTGGGGGACCCTCTTTGACCACTGGGATCCTGCCCAGTGGTCCCTGAGCACATGCTCCTCACACCCCACCCCTCCCCCAGCCCCAGGATGATGCCTGCCCTGCTCACCAGATCTCTCTGGGAGTCAAGGATCATGAGCTATAAAGTGGGAGCCAAGCGAGTGTAAGCTCTATATGATGAACCTCCAGAGCCCTACGCGCGTGGATGTGAGTTAGTTTATACATTGGAACAGTGACCTGGAAACCCCGCCAGGCAGAACAGCTTGGGGGAAGCATCTCCCTGATGGAGAGGTGAGCCAGGCTTTCTGAAGACAGACGCAGGCAGAATGGGGACCATGAAGTCCTGCGGGTGCATGAGGCATCGGGACTCCTGGTGCGTCTACGTGTGTTCTGTGAAGACAGAAACACATATCTAAAATCCCCAGGAGAAATTGTTACAGAAAATCCAGGGAAGCACAGGGGAGGCCAAGAGAGGGGGCTGCTGCCAAGGGCAAGGGAGCCACTGTGGCTTGGGCACCAAATGGTGCCACTTTTTTGTGAGCTACCCCATGAGATTTAGGGACAATTGAATAAATGGGTCCAGAGGCTTGAGTCAAATCTTGTTAAATTGGTCTGTTTAGCCCCTAGAATGGCTTTTTAGACCTGTGATAGGAACATGCCACTCTCCTGCTTCTAAGCTCCCTGTCGCTTATGGAATAAATTCCAAACCCCTTAAGAGGCAGTACTGCCCGGTGGCCAAGGGCGTGGATTCTCTTAGAGCCAGAAAGCTTCATTCTCACCCTGTGTGCCCCTGTTACCAGTTGTGCGACACAGTTTGCAAGGAGGGTAAAGCCTCAGGCCTTTCCCAATTCCTGACACCCTCTCTGCACCTCAGTTTTCCGAATTATAAAATGGGGGAATAACAGTAATACATGGAAAGCCTCAGTAAATGCCAGGCCTTATGATGCTAGCTTCTCTTGGTTTGTAAGACTATTGGTAATCTGGACCCTGCTCATCCTTCCAACCTCATCTCCTATTCCTCACTGTCCAGAGCAATATCAAACTGTGCATAATTCCCCGAAGACACCAGAATGACCCCGCTCTCTGCCTTTGTTCATGCTGCAGCTGCCTGGAGTGCCACTCCTCTCCTTCTTTGGCTCATCTCCATCCCCACCATCCAGCAGGGTAGCTTCTTGGTAAATGTTTGCGGACCTAGTGCCCCCAACACTGCCTGCTGCTGGAGGCAGAGGGGGGAGGCTAGGACAGGGAGGTCCTGAAACCCATTTCTCCAGGACTGTGGGAGAGACTGCCCCCATCACCAATCCTAACACAGAATCCCTCCAGAGATGGCCAGAAAAGCAGATTCTCAGGGCAACTCCCCTCAGACTTGAATTGTCCCCACATTTTCTCTCTAAAGTCTCGCACCTCTAGGCTTTTTATTGCTTCACTTATATTCCATTCTTAGGGTAAAGGAATTCTGCCCTAAATGAACAAGTATCTTTATTCATTCAAAATATACGTTTTGAGACCGACTTTGTGCCAGGCATAATGCCAGGCACTGGAGAGAGCTGGAAATAAGACAAACTCAGTTTATAACCTAGTGGGGAGGCAAGCAGTAAACAAATGAATAATTAAATAAATAAGTTAATTTATAATAGTCAGGAGAACTACAAAGAAAATTTAAAAAGTAATATTATAGAAAGTTGTAGATGGTGTTTCTGTGTGTTGGGGGGGTGGATTTGGGAGATTGGCATTATTTATAAGGTTGTCAGAAAGGTCCTGCACATGAGCTGAGACCTAAATGACCCGAGAAAACAGCTATGCAGAAATCTGGGGAAAGACTGAGACTTGGAGGTTGGATGACCAAGAGAATTGGATGGGTCATTTTAGAGGTAGAGTTTGCCATGTGGATCCTCCAGGAAGCAGGCACTTAGATGGGGTTGGATATGCAAGTGGTTGATTGGGGGCTAAGGGCTGTGCGAGCCTCAGACCCCAATGCAGATCTGACAAAGTCTTGGCCAACCCAACAGGGAGCTCCAGGGTCAAGACTGACCATTGGGGAAGTCTTGCATTGGGCAGAAATGCCCAATCCCTAATACCCTTTTCGTGCTTGGTCATTAGTTGGGAGCTGCTCCAGAAGAAGGTGGCTTCAGCTCAGAAGCTGGGGTGATGTGCACACAAAAGCCTGCATATAGATGTTTATAGGAACTTTATATATAATTGCCAAAACTTGGAAGCAACCAAGATGTTCTTCAGTAGGTGAATGGATAAATAAACTGGTATATCCAGACAACGGAATCTTATTCAGCAATAAGAAGAAAGGAGCTCTCAAGCCATGAAAAGACATGGAGGAACCTTAAATGCATATGACTAAGTGAAATTAGCCAGTCTGGAAAGGCCACATGCTATATGATTCCACCTCTATGACATTCTGGAGAAGTAAAAACTATAAGGACTGTAAAAAGACCCGTGGTTGCCAGGGTTATGGGGAAGGGAGGGATGAATCGGCGGAGCACAGAGGATTTTTGGGGCAGGGAGACTATTCTCCAGGATACCATAATGGTGGGTACATATCATTATACATTTATCCAAACCCATAGAATATACAATACCAAGAGTGAAGCCCAATGTAAATGAGGGACTTGGGGCGATAATGTGTGTCAATGTAGGTTCATTCCTTGCAACAAATGCACCACTCTGGTGGGGGACATTGATAGTGGGGGAGCCTATGCATGTGTGGGGCAGGGGGTGTACGGGAAATCTTTGTATCGTCTGCTCAATATTTCTGTGAACCTAAAATGGCTCTAATGAACGAAGCTGGGATGGCTCCAGAAAGCGAGGCAGCTGGAGGGTGTCTGCTAAATGCACCAGGTGCAGCCCCATGAAGATTCATTCTTAAAGGGGGAGCTGAGCAGTGCCCCCTCCGTGGCTGCCACAGCCCACCCCTTGTGCTGTGAAGACCCACTTCTCCACACAGGTCAGGAAGCATCTCCTCCAAGCAACCCCCCCCCCCGCCGGGTCTCTCTTCCTGAGGAGACATTTAGAAGTGGGGGTTGGTGGGATGAACCACGGCCTCAATCACTGCGGTTGGTCTCAGGGCCCCAAGAGGTATCCACTGTCTCCCTCCTCCACTACCCATCAAAAATTCCCCTTGCCCTCTGCTGAGAAAAGGTGGGATGAATATTCTTTCCTTCCCCTAAACCAGTGAAGTCCATGGTATGATACATTTGCTCAATACATGTTTCTTGAACCGAGATATGTTTTTGTAAAGTAGGGGCGGGAGGAAGGACAATGGGTAGGGAAAACCTTCAGGCTACAACAAAGTCACGTCTAAAAGAATGGGAGAACGCTGCTGGTTTGGTACCTCGTAGTTTCTGTCTGCCACAGGCATGTGGTGGACTCAGACCTTGAACTCGGGGCTTCAGGTGACCAACTCATTTCAGTTTAGCACTGCAAGTCCTATGTCCTGGGAAACCTCTCAGTCAGGCTAGCTGGTCACCCTAACTATCTCCAAATCACACGCCCCCAGGTGCGGGTAAGTAATGGGTATCGAACAGCACGTCACTCCCCGTCTTCCTGCCATCCTCAGCCCCTGTGCTTCCCTCCACTACAGCATCTCCCACTTTACCTGTCCCTGCAAAACCGTGAGCCCCTCCGGGGCAGGGACCAGCTGAGTCCTCCTCATCTCTGTGTCTCCGGGGGCCTGCACTCCTGGCTACTCAAGCTCCCAGCGAAGGTGGACAATTCCTCTTGGGGTGTGCTTGTGAGCTAAAAAGCTTCCTTTCCCTGGGGAGCGGGGAAGCAGGCCTGGGGGACAAAGAGAACTGCCAGTGTCCATCCTGGACATCTCCATCCTGAGGGTCCAGTCTCCAGCCGGGGATGGACTGTCCCAGAACCAGAGCCGCCTCAGTCTCCTTGTCTATAAAGTGGGGTCATGGTACTTACCGCATAGTGAGAACGGGAAAAGAGCACATGAGATGTGTGTAAAATCTCCTGGGGACTCAGGGGCAAGGACAATTTCTCACCATGTTGTTTCGTATGCCTAGGGCAGAGCACAGTGCCTGGCACTTAGTGCATGCCCCAAACATGCCATCCCTTCCTTATTTATTCCTAGCACCTATTAGGTGCCCAGTGAAGGTTAATTTCCTTTTTTACTTCTTTTTTTTTTTTTTTTAAAGATTTTATTTATTTATTTGGCAGAGAGAGGGAGCAAGCACAAGCAGGGGGAGTGGCAGGCTGAGGGAGAAACAGACTCCCTGCTGAGCAAGGAGCATGATGCGGGGCTCCATCCCAGGCAGACGCTTAACTGACTGAGCCACCCAGGCGCCCTCCGTTTTTTCTTCTTTACCTTTATTCCCCAAGTGCCTACAGTGCCTTCCTCAGTGGGCTCACTCTCCTTTCTTGGCTCCTCTCCCACCCCCTTCCCGAACAGAGTGGTGAATCATTCAGACTAAGGCTCATATATGTGTTCAATCAACGTACCCCAGCCTGGGACCTTCCAAGGAGAAGCAGGGCTCAGAAATGTTTGCCTATTAGCAGTAGATTCCCCGGCTAGGAGCCCAACCAGAGAGGAGGGGCAGAAGCCAGGAAGGAGAGAGCTTTCCTCTCTGGGGAAGCCCAGAGATTTCCATCCAGGGTTTCTGCTTCCCTGGAAGCAGCAAAAGGAGCCAACCCACCTCTCAGGCTCAGGCAGGAAGCGAGGACATCTGTTCCCAGCTCAGGAGGGGCCGAGAACCAAGGAGGAAACGGGTGTCCTCCTTGTAGGGGACCTGGCAGTTGGCGGGAAGGTGTGTGCCTGCAGCCAGACCCAGCCCAGAAAGACCGGGATGAGTGGCCGGCCAGTGAGGCTGCATCCTCTTTCTGTGGCTGTTGGGGGCTGGGGTGCTGTCACTGTCTCACCCTCATCCCGCCAGCCCCTGGGGCTCAGTCCATTCCTCCTCCCCACACTTGTTATTCTGTTACTCACCGCAGCAACCTCAGAGCTCCACATTAAAATCTTCCCTGTTTTACAGATAAGAATTGGAACTCAGATAGGTTCTGTCGTTTGCCCCGGGCCCCATGGTCAGTGCAGGTATGCGTGGGATTTGAACCTGGAAGTTTGCAGAACGTTGCACATTCTCGCTCTCTCTCCGAGTAGATCAGACCCTGACCAATGAGGAAACAGCCAAGTATATCCTGGGAGCCTCCCGCCACCCTGGGCTCAGTCCACCTCCTTCTCCCAGGCCCTCCCCTGATCTCAGGAGTTCGTCTAAAGTCAAGAGCCGCTGTGGCCCACACCCGCCCTCTTCCAAGGGGCCCAGCACCTGTTTCTGTCGCACTGATCTGTGATTTGTGTTTCCCCCCGAGAGCGTGAGAACTTCTGGAGGTCTGGCACTGCATCTGTTTCGTATCTGGGTCACTGGCACCCAGTGTGTGCTCCGGGTGTGTCTACTTCACCCACGATGGAACCTAAGGACTGATGGCCATTTCTCCAGCTCCTCTAGGAAAGGCAGTTTTCTGATGACCCCCAGGATTCTGCAGACACTGCACCTGAAGCCAGGGAAGCCAAGTTTTAGGGCTCCAGGATCATCCCTTTCTTAATCCATAGAATGGGTATGGGCAGACCTTGCTGTCTACAGAGATGATGTAAGGCCTGTGACAGATAAAAGGTCTCCTTTTGAAGGAGGCTCAGGGACAGGCGGATGGTGAAGAGTCAGAGCCAAGGCTTGTGATGGGGTTAGAGGCAAGGCGGGTACCTGGGACCTTACAGGATGACTGCTCATGTGTATCCAGCGAAGAACCAAGGGTGTCTGGCAGCTACTCCTCAAATACCATGTGTTTCCTCATCTAGCTTGGGGACCCAAGGTGATCCCTAGGGGAAGTGGGGGGCAGGTTGGGGAGACTCTCCCAGAGGCTGGAAGAAGGGACCATGCAGGAGAGCAGGGTACAGTGGGTGGTCCTGCTGGCTGGACACCGGCTCCTGCCCATTGAGCTTGCCAGCCCTCTTCTTGGCCCACCTCGGGATGGGTCGGGGCTTGGGTCTCTCTCCTCTAAAATTTGCCTGCTACCAGCATGAGCTGCAGCCACTAGCAAATTGTACCCACACACAATTTGTTTTTTCAGATACAGAAATGGAGATTCCGGGAGGGAAAGGGACTTTCCTGAGATTACACAGCAAGGAGGAAGCATTTGATGATAATGACGACGTGGTCCTTGCTCTGTTCCTAAGTGCATGATACGAAATCATCTAAAGCCTCACAAACCCCCAATGGAACCGGCATGCTACTATCACCATCCCCATGGTATGGTTGGTGAAGCACAGAGAAGTTAAATAACTTGTTTTAGGTCACTCAGCTGCCAAGGTGAGGAGCTGGGATTCAAAGCCAGACATTCAAATTCATGACCACTAGGCTATACGGACTTTCTGGGAGGAAGCACAATGCAGGGAAGGCCGTTCTGGCAGGCCTGAGCCCAATGGACTGGGTCGAGGGTAAAGGGTAGGGCACGAACAGCAGAGGGGAGGAAAGGCGGCCTGTTTGGAGGCTGAAGCAGTGAACAGACCCAGAGTGAGCTGTGCTCGGCAGGCTGCAGGCAGAAGTCATTTTACTCTTTCCCAGTGGCCGCCTTGTCAACCTGTTCTGTTGACCCCATCTTTCCCACTCTTGGATGAAATTTCAGGCATATCTCATAACTTTTTCAGTCACTCTGAGGTTTTACCTTATTTTTTTAGATATTAAAATCGTCTAGTTTAGTAGCAAAGTTTTAAGCTCTGTTCAAGACTTCTTTCCCTCAAATCTGCCTTAAACTCAAAGACCTGTAAAATGAGGAAGGAGTCATTCTCTCATTAGGGGTACTTCTGTGGGTTCTTCAGAGACCCCCCCAATCACTAGGGATCTCCCACCTGCAGTTTCTACCTGGGCAAAGCCTCCCCGGGCTGGCTGGGCTTACAGCCCCCTTCAGCACCTGCCTTCTGGGTTCCAACTCAACATGAGTCCTTCTGATAGGATCTCATGCCCTCTCCCTGCTTCCCTCCCCGCTCCCACCCCCACACCAATCCTCTTGGGGCAGGGTCCTAATTCAAAATGACCTCAAACCAGCCACATTCTTCAAGGTTCCCTCCGGGGCCCTGGGAAACACATTTGCATCCTGGCCCCCAAAGGCTGGAAGTGCAGGCTGTTCCCAAAGCAGCTCAGCCCTTGCCTCGAAGAAGCAAGGAAGCCTAGCCAGGCTTTCCCCTTTGTCACTTACCCTCAGAATTCCAGGGGACACGTGCTATACCCTTGGGTTTTCTGAAGCCTCCCCTCACTTGGCCTGAGGTTGGGGAGTACTGCCAACTATCTCTAAAGAGAGCCCCCTCTCCTCTCCTCTCCCCCCGCCCCCCTCAGCCACACAGCCTTGGAGGGCTGAGGGACCAGGAGCACTTCTGACCCTGGCCCTTTGCAAGTCTATGCTTTGGAATGGGGTACTTGGTACCCGTTGCCCTCAGCTCTGGGGGTCTGGACTGGAGCAGGCAGCAGGGCTGAGGGGGAAGGGAGGGATTAGAGTGGGATTTCCATTCGGGGGTCCCTCAGTCACAGATGCTGGTGACAGGCCAGAAAGGGATGAGTCAGAGACGAGGCGCAGGGTTCAGGCCCCATCAGTGGAAGGCAGTGAGTCAGGCAGCCCGTGGGGGCCAATTTGCAGTCTGGAGGCTGGTTTTGAAGACGGAGTTTGAGGGTGTCACATGGGGGTGGAGCAGAGGGGTTGAAAGCATGGACTTTGAAGTTAGGGTGTTTGGGTTTCAATTTCAGCTCCGCACACAGCTTACCAAGGGTACCACCCGGAGCAAGTGACTCAGTCCCTCCCACCAGTTTCCCTGGCTGCACCATGGGAGCATTAAGCCAGAGTGAAACTCCAGTGTGCAGCTCAAAGCCTGGCTCGTGGGGCCCTCAGCAGGGTTCCCTGCAATCCCACAAGGAAGGGAGTATTATTCTCTTCTCCCATTTTACAGATGGGGAAACTGAGGCACAGGGAGCTAAGCAACATGCTGGGGCAGTCTCACACAGGCAGCCCAGCTCCACCTACTGTGTCCTCACCTACCATGCCACGCAGGAGGACGTGGGCACAGTGGGAAGTATGACCGTGTGGGTTCAACTCCCACCTCTACCGCATAGGAATTCGTGAGCCATAATTTCACCTTTCTGGACCACAGTGCCCTCATTCCTATATCGTAGGTACTGAGCTCTCTGGCTTGTGAGGATTTAATTAGTTAATCCTTGTAAAGTCCACTCTGTCTGTGTTAGTTATCTTTCTTAGAGCAATTCTGGGTTGGAAGGATAATTAGAGGAAACCCCTCTCCTCTGTTTTACAGAAGAGGACACAGAGGCCCAGAGAGTGATTGACGGGCCTGAGATCACAAAAAGTGGCAGAGCTGGGACTAATCCACTGTTCAACTATCCCGAAGCTCTTACATGGGAGGAGGGCATTGAGAATTGGTGAGCAGAGCCCTGGAGCACCTGGGCCGGAAGTCAGAAGAATGGTCAAGTCTGGACACATAGATCTGGAAGATGTCTCCTCCTACCCAAGCGGTGCTTGCACAAAAACCCTTTCACACCCATCACCTCAGGCCTCCCAAGGAACCCTGAGAGGTAGGGACTCCCGGCTTCCATGACAGCTGAGGGGCACGAGGGCTGGAGAGGAGAAGTGACCCGACCACCTGAACCCAGACAGGGGTCTCCTTCTGGTGACGGGGGTGTGATAGGCAGGCAGGTGGAGGAGGGGTGAGTGTGGGGGAGCAGGTCGGGGCTGATGAGAACAGAAAGCCTCCACCAGGACACTTCGACATAGACACTGTGTCAAGGGAGCCTGAGAGAGGACGGTCACTTTAATGACTCCCTGTGGGGGACAGTCTACAATTGCCTTTTCCAAAGTGTGTCCTGTTGCCTTGCTCACAGATGGGACTATCGGAGCCTTCACAGAGAACCCCTAGGGA